TATCCAAGAATGCGTGCCAACGATCAATCATTTTCTTTTTCACTTTGGGTTAATCCAACATCTACTACAAGTGGTGGTACATTAGTACATTTATCTTCGAATTCAAATGGTAATGGAACTTGTTATGATCTTTTGGTTTTTACAAGTACTGGAGCTTTAGTATGTCAATGGTTGTATGCAAACAACAGTGCTGATAGTGCTCAAGGTTCTGTGATACCAGCAAATACATCGACTCATGTAGTTGTTGTATATAGTTATAAAAGTGGTGTTCGTCTTTTTATTAATGGACAATTTAGCACTTCATCAAACGCTGGATCTTTCTCTGTATTTGACGCCTCTAGTCCATGGTATATCACATTAGGTAATAAGAGTCCATTGGGATCATCAGCATCGCTTAGCTGTCAAAGTGGTTCTATACCTATTTCATCAGGATCTTTTTCAGGTTCTATTGATGAATTTCGAATGTACAATCGAGAACTAAACAATCAAGAGATATGTGTACTTGCTAATCCATAAATTTGAAATAAGAAATGACATTTTTATTTACAAAATATTACAGATTGTTGGCCTAATAATGTGCTTTTTATCATTAATTTCAATTTTAGTTTGAAATATAATAAAGAAAATTGACTTCTAAGAATTTTTCTGTATTTGAATAATAATCTAATTGGTTTTCGAATTTCTACTTGAAGCTTTGCATAGAAACAAGTCTTAACAAGATTATTTTATTAGGAATGTTTCAGATCTTGCCGCCGTTCCTATCCTAAGTATATGATGGCTTCTACGAGTATTTCCGAAAACTCAATTAAGTACCAACACAGAAGATATGAGAGAGGTAGGAGTTATAGAGATACAGAAGATATTGCATGAATACACGCAGCAATAAATACACAGGACATCGCACCTGGAGTAGGTGACGCCAAAACACGGACACATCCTCAAGCGATTTATTATTTGACGAACTTCTCTCATGAATGCGAATGTTCCATAGAAATTGAAAATAATCATTTTAACTTGAAGACTTTTCTTGTGCAAAGACGAATATTTTTTGTCTTGCTCAAATACTTCGATTATCATAATCATATGAATAGTTTTTATTGTTGTTTAACCAAAATTT